AGATAGATAGATAGATAGATAGATAGATAGATAGATAGATAGATAGATTTATACTATATTTGTATGAAGAAATGGTTCACACAGTTGTAAAAGGGGCTAAGTCTGGTCTGGTTCAAGTCCATGGGTCAGATATTCTGCTGGGTCTAGAGAACCAGGAAGCAGGAATACCATCGACAGGCAGTCAGTCAGTCTTGCAACTACAAAGTTCAACGAATTCAAGTTTGGCAGACAATATGGGGGTTGATGAGCTGGTGGCAGGATCCACACCAGCAAGAAGAATCAAGCTAGCTTTCCCACAGTGTCAAATTATGTAAGAGTAAGCCACACCCTTAATGAAACTTCCTTTCATCTATATCAGGACTGCCACATGATCAAGGGGGGAATATTCCACCCTAATCTTCCCACAACTGCTTGTGTGCTCACAGCAAAGTCTATCATGGATTTGATTATATTATACTAGATCACATCAAGGGAGAGGCTCTAAATGCCAGATTGAGAATCCTAACCAAGCCAAGTTGATGCAAAGCCTAAATATCACAGTCCAAGTTCTAAAAGGGCACTATATGTACTATATGAAGCCATATAGTCTAGTTACCTTCCTAACCACACAAAAGAAGGAAAACTCATTCCAACCCTATCCTGTATACATGGGATTTGGAACCAGGGGCTGTAGGTTTGGATCCTGTCCTCCTGACTTATCTGCTGTGTGAAACATTTCCTGAGTCCAAATTTTATCTTTTTATTTTTAAATCATTTTATTGGGGGCTCTTACACTTCTTATCACAGTCCATACATACATCCATTGTGTCAAGCACTTTTATACATATGTTGCCATCATCATTTTCAAAATATTTTCTTTCTACTTGACCTCTCAGTATCAGCTCATTGTTTTTTCCCCTTCCTTACTGATAAACCCTTGATACATTATAAATTACTATTATTTTCATATCTTAAATTGTCTGCTGTCTCCCTTCACCCACTTTTCTGTTGTTTGTCCCCTCTGGGAGGGGGTTATATGTTGATCATTGTGATCAGTTTCCCCTTTCTCCCCCCACCTTTCCCTTACCCTCCTGATATCGCTGCTCTCATTATTGGTCCTGAGGGGTTTATCTGTCCTGGATTCCCTGTGTTGTGAGCTCTTAACAGTACCAGTGTACATGCTCTGGTCTAGCCAGATTTGTAAGATAGAATTGGGGTCATGATAATGGGGAGGAAGAAGTATTAAAAAACTACAGGAAAGTTGTATGTTTCATCGGTGCTATACTTCACCCTGACTGGCTCATCTCTTCCTTCTGACCCTTCTGTAAGGGTTGTCTAATTGTCTGCATGTGGGCTTTGGGTCTCCATTCCACCCTCCCCCTCATTCACATTGATATGATTTTTTGTTCTGGGTCTTTGATGCCTGATACTTGATTCCATTGACACCTTACGATCATACAGGCTGGTGTGCTTATTCCAGGTGGGCTTAGTTCTTAGTTGCTAGATGGCCGCTTGTTTATCTCCAAGCCTTTAAGACCCCATACGCTATATCTTTTGATAGCTGGGCACCATTAGCTTTCTTCACCACATTTACTTATGCACCCATTTTGTCTTCAGCGATCGTGTCAGGGAAGGTAAGCATTATAGAATACTGGGTTATTAGAACAAAGTGTTCTTGCACTGAGGCAGTACTTAAGTAGAGGTCTAATGTCCATCTGCTGCCTTAATATTTATACATATAAGTATATGCACATAGATCTATTTCCAATTCTATCTTTTTAAAATGCAGATAAAAGCAGCACCATCTCAAATGGTGCCTGCAAAATAGATTAACTGCATTATGTGCATCACTTTGTAAAATCATATCCAGGTTTGTATATGGGAGCCCTGGTGATGCAATATGGTAAGAATTTGGCTGCTAACCAAAAAACGTCAGTGGTTCAAATCCACCAGGTACTCCACTGGAAGAAGTTGTGATTATCTGTTCCTGTAGAGGTACAATCTAGGAAACCCCAAAGGAGCAGTTGTAATCTGTCCGATAGGTCACTATGAGTTGGAATCGACTTGATGGCAATGGGGTTGGATTTAGCTGAGATGTGATTTGAAATGTAGAGATTATTCCTGAAAATCGTTGACTCAGTCATCTTGCTTTCCACATGAATGCCCCAACAAACAGACAAAAGAAATGTCTGTGGCCTCCATTGTAGCCCAAGGGCCATTTTGGCTTCAGAGATAAACTAGTTTCTCTTCTCTTCACAGCAAACACCCTGACAGTGATCATCCTTTCTCAGCTGGTGGCTAGAAGGCAGAAGTCCTCCTACAACTATCTCTTGGCACTTGCTGCTGCTGACATCTTGGTCCTCTTTTTCATCGTGTTTGTGGACTTCCTCTTGGAAGATTTCATCTTGAACATGCAGATGCCTCAGGTCCCCAACAAGATCATAGAAGTGCTGGAATTCTCATCCATCCACACATCCATTTGGATTACTGTCCCATTAACAATCGACAGGTACATTGCTGTCTGCCACCCGCTCAAATACCATACCGTCTCCTACCCAGCCCGCACCCGGAAAGTCATCATTAGCGTTTACATCACCTGCTTCCTGACTAGCATCCCTTACTACTGGTGGCCCAATATCTGGACTGAAGACTATATCAGTACTTCCATGCATCATGTCCTTATCTGGATTCACTGCTTCACCGTGTACCTGGTGCCCTGTTCCATCTTCTTCATCTTGAACTCAATCATTGTGTACAAGCTCAGGAGAAAGAGCAATTTTCGCCTCCGGGGCTACTCCACAGGGAAAACCACTGCCATCTTGTTCACCATTACCTCCATCTTTGCCACCCTCTGGGCTCCCCGCATCATCATGATCCTCTACCACCTCTACGGGGCACCCATTCAGAACCGCTGGCTGGTGCACATCATGTCCGACATCGCCAACATGCTGGCCCTTCTGAACACCGCCATCAACTTCTTCCTCTACTGTTTCATCAGCAAGCGGTTCCGCACCATGGCAGCTGCCACACTCAAGGCCTTCTTCAAGTGCCAGAAGCAGCCTGTACAGTTCTACACCAACCATAACTTTTCCATAACAAGTAGCCCCTGGATCTCGCCAGCCAACTCACACTGTATCAAGATGCTGGTGTACCAGTATGACAAGAATGGAAAGCCTATAAAAGTATCTCCGTGACCCCAGTGATTCAGCACCTAGTGCCTCTGTCTAGCCCATTTCCAGATGGGAGGGCATCCCATCCGACAGCTGAAGAGCAATCAAGAGTGTTCACCTGATTCCCTGTTTCCACAGCCTGAACACCTGTCAGACTGGTAGATAAGGAAAGATGGGAGTGCAGAGAGGAAAGCAGAAGTCTTCTTTTTAGTGATGTATTTATTTTCCCAACCGTCAAGTTGACAACAAAAACTCCCTACCAGTTTGAAGAGGACATCCGAGGTGGTGCCATCACCCCGTGGCTAGGAAGGACATGCAGTAGAGAAGTCGTTTGCAACTTAGCCCTGGAACTACCCACCATCTGGGAACCATTTCCTGTGGCACACCATGCATGCCACAGGAGCACGTAGCTGAGTCTGCACTCTTCTTCCAAGAGCCAAGGTCATTCATCACTTTCCTGTGCCATCCCCAGCACTACCAATGCTGATGGACTCTGGGTTCCTCTAAGGTGCCCTGTATCCTAGAGGAGGTTAAAGTCTTGAAGTAGCCTTGGCACCCTTAGCTGAAGAATGAGGTAGTAGGGACCAGGGAGTATTAAATCCCATCCGAACTCTGCCCAGAACTTCTGCAGAAAGGCTCTCAACTAGCCAAACGATGACCCTCAGACCTGGAGTCAAAGATGTACTCTTTCTATGAGCTGATATGTACAGATTTTATGTCTCCTCCACAACAAAGACCCTGCCTGGTATGTGTAGGGAATGGAGGAATTCTTCAGCCCAGAAAAACAAAAAAATAAGCCCACTCTTGCCATTGTGTTGACCTGCCCATGCCAGCTGTGTCCTGTACCTTGACTCGAAAAGCTTCTAGTTGCCATGCTTCCTGGAGAAACCTTTTCCCATGTCGAGTTGCCAATCCTGCCTCTTGCCTGCTGCGACCCTGCCCAACTTGCTTTATTTGAAGTGACTTCTAACTGGAATCCCTATTCAAGGGTCAAGAATTGTCACTGTCTGGGCTGAGGAGGCATCTCAGCTCGGCCCCACAGTCCACCTGGAATCGCCACTTCACCACAAACACAGACAGACACGGTTGGCATGGAAAGGTGCCCATCCTGTCTCTGCTCATCTGCCCCCTTGACACCCATGGTCCAAAAGGACAGTGCTAGCTCTTAGTGAGGCTATTTAGCCCAGGCCCTTTGCAAAAGGATAAAGTATCAATGTGTTTATTTCTTCTCTCCTTGCCTATCTCCAGCAACCCCAGATCTGGGATGTAAATGAAATGGTTTCCCCGTGAATTGTCATCCACATGCACGTGTGCCCGGACACACTCACAGACACACTCATTTAATGAGATGAGGAGCTGTGGTGGCACATTGGTGAAGTATTTGTCTACTAACGAACTGGGGATTCAAACTCACTTATTGCCTCTTTAGTAGAAAGGGTTGGTAGTCCGCTTCCAAAAAGACTGCAGCCAAGAAAATCCAATGGGGCAGTTCTAGTCTGTCACACGTGGTCACCGGGAGTTGAGAAATGGGCTTGACCACACCCAACAACGACATGCATCCAGTGATGTGTTTTATACTGGAAATCTAAAACCATACTGGAATTCCTCTCAGTCTTTTTTTTTTTACTTCCCTCCCTGAACCTCCGATGTTTGAAAGTCATGCCCGTTTTGAAAAATCGCTCAAAATGATTTTAGAAGTGTGTGGGTTGGGGGGTGACCAAACAAAAAGCAGACAACAGGCCACCTGGAACACTTGGGGTCCACGCAGTTTTGTCCCCAGCTCGGAAGGCATATCTATCCCTTTTCATAGAATTTGCAATAAATAAGGGGAGGGAAGAGAGAAGAGGCCCCACGTGCAACGCAAGCCCTGAGATTCAAGCAATACTCTCAAAGCTCAGTTCACATCATTCTGGGTCCTATTCATCCTGATGATCCTAATCCCTACTCCTTTTACGTGATAGCCCGAGAGTCGTCTCATCTGCCTCAATGTTTGCAATGCCACAGACAACAATCTGGTCTAGCCAACAAGCCCTTTCCAGAGCCTTCAGGAGGAAGGTGCGTTTCAGGCCAGAGCTCATTTCCTTAGAAACCCAACCCACCTGAGTTGGTCTCCAGCACGAGAACTGGCCTGTCTTCCGGTTTTGGTAGCTGAAGACAGAGCAGAGTTGGCTTGCCTGGAGGGGACCCTATCACACGAGAGTCTAGTGTCTCATACTGATGCCCGGAGATGCTCACACTCTTCCAGAGGAGCATGGTGGTGGCTTGACTAAGGAGGGGAGCAGGTTTGCAACCCCTATCCCACACTCCCCGGGGTGTACTTGCATTGAGCTGAATGGTGAGCAGATGTCCCCTTGCCCCTTCAGGAAATTGCATTCCGTTGCTGCTTTGCTTGCCAAGCACATGTAGTTGCATCTATGTGCATTAATTGTGTGCATCATGTGATCCCACCACATCCCTTTATGAATGAACATTGACCAAAGGCTACCTATATGGAATATATGTATATGATATTTATTTTTCAAAATGCCTAGTGCTGACAAATACTAGCTTTAGCTATCCTGGAATGAGCTGATGTGCAATATCTGTAGAGAAAAGGCAGTTCCTTTTGGAAAATGTATGTCCAATGGAAGCTATGTTTGCCGACCTCAATGTTCCTTCCTCCACGGTTTTAATTGTATGTACAGATTACTTGCTGATGTTTTTCAAAGTAAAAGCTGGGTGTGCATTTGGGATATTTTCCTCATACACTCACTTATTACTTCACAATAGAGACGCTACCGAATAGTATTATAGTCTTTTTTCCTTCTGATGATATTTTATGTTTTGATAAATAATATTTCAAGGGGATCTGAGTCTTCAAGGCCATCCAGCGAGTGGATTCCTTCTGGTGAAGATGCATATGAATGTCTTCGGGGTTTGGTTGATATATATCTGCTGAAATGTATTTCAGATAACCAAAAGACTTATGTAATTTAATTCTTATGTATTGTCATATTTATGGAGAATATTGAGAAGTTTGTTTTGGTTTTGCTTTGAAGAAAAACGTTTAAGTCAGTTTTGGAAATAAAGTCTTTACATTTGAAGCCTGTCATGGAAATAGCTGCTTCCTTTGGCACATAAGCAATTAATCGCCTTATATTAGGGAGGGGTAGTACCTCTTAAGGACTCTTAGCTAGCAGCTCCCTTGCTAGCTGGATATGTAATCATGTTATACACGGAAATGTCTCAAGGGGAGGGGAATATGGAGATGGCTGACAAACCATGAAAAACAGATGTGAGGCAGCATGAACTTCCACTTTGCCAGCACCCTGCAATTGGAAAAGATCACTTTACACACCGCGTACCTACTGATCCAACAGGGGGAGGTCTATCAGAAGGGAATGAAAGACTCCAGTTTGGACTCTTTGGGGGTCAAAGAATGGAGGGTACCATAGAGAAGTAGTAAATGTTCATATTTTCTTAATTAGATGATATATTGTGTTTGGACTTGTTTGTATTATAATAAATTCTAATATGGTACACATGTGGTGTTTGATATATATATAATATATAATATATATATATATATATATATTTAACATACTCAAGCAGTGGCAGGACTCTGAAAATTTGGAATGGGCATCTTGCTTCTACATTGCGGTAGGTACTAGTCCTACCTGGTCATCCACAGCTATTTCAGGAGTTAATCCCAATGATTTATTCTTCCTATAATCTAAAGTGAGATCACTTACTAAATATGGATCCGGATTTTTCTCTGATTAACCCCTCTACTATCTTCAACTGAGTGATGGCATGCTAGTAAGTGGACATCTAGTACAATGGCTGAAAGCATGGACTGGGGGCATGTGTTTATGACCAAGCTCCACCTGTGAACTAGGTGTGGGTTCTTGAGCAAGTCCCTGATGATCTCATCTAGAAAACAGTGCAACTTTTCCCACGAGCCTACACGGGAAGTAGGAGCCCTCGTGGAACTCAGCATTCGGAATCAAACAGCTCCATCATTGTAGGCAGGCTCGGCTACGTTATATGTGCTATGTGACCTTGGGTAATTTTCTCAACTACTCTGAGTCTACATTTCCTCCCCAGAAAATGGCATTAATAATAACCCCATGCTCATGGGACCATTATGTGTAGCAGAGCTTAAGAGAGCATCCAATTTTGCATCATTTTATAGGCGGATTACAGGCCTAACAAGCAGAACCCAGGTCACTTCGTGTTTCATCCAGAATCCTCTCTATTCAATACCAAATTGCGTTCTCTGAAAGATTGTGATTCATCCCTCCAAAGATCATGTAATTCTTGTGCCCTTTTTCAAATTGAATATATCACATCATTTTCCAGCTCTTACAGCCCATGTCATTGAAGCATGAGGTATATTATAAGAGCATCATAATTAAAACACTGGCTTGACCTTTCCCTGTGAGGTAAACTTTCTCTTTTAATTGACTCTATCTAGAATCCTAACCACAACTCTCAAACTAGCACCGCATTTTTTCACACAAACTGACACCCACCCACAAACTGTTCTCACAACCTTATCTTGGCAACCATTTAGATGATGAAGCTGACTTACAAGTTGAGGGGGAGGCCCAGAAAAGGGGGCACAAAAATTGCTGAGAGGGTTGTAAAGAAGTCAGTAGGCATGGCCACAGCACCCATTAATTTTATTCACTGACTCAGGGAGGCAGGATGCAAGTGAGTTGATGGAGGTTGAACTGCTAAATAATAACCCTTTTATTAGTGCACTCAGCTAAATGTGATAGCTCAGCCTCTATAGAGGGTGTGTAACTAATCCGACGACTTGCCAGACACAGCGAGGGGGATCAGAGGCTAATGTCCACTAGGATAAACACTGTGACTTTCCTGGGTTGATTGGGAGATTGTCACTGTCCTACTGCCCCCCCGAAGACCAACCCCTCCCCAAGGTATTAAAAAGGAGTAAAAACTGAGCCACAGGGGAAAGCGACACCTTCTCATCAAAGAGTCATCCTGACTGTGAAGTTTTGTTACCTAGAGTTACACAGTATTTCTCTCCACTGGAGATGGAACTAAAGAAAGTCAGAATTGAGCTCCAGCCAGAGGGATCTAGATTAAACTCAAAGACAAAATCTTCACAGGGAGCTCTATCAACTCCATACATGGTTTTCGGGGTTCTTGGAATGAGCTTCTCCAGATATATTTCAAAATAATTGGTTTACCAACCAGGATCTTGGAGGAAACAGAGTTTAATGCAGTGGCATGAAGGAAAAGATTGAATCGAGTCTCTTGGTTACCCAGTGCTGCTGTAGCAGAAACCCCACCAGGGGCTTTAAAGCACAGAAATGTCTTTTCTCACAGTTTAGATGACAGAATGCAGAGAGGGTTGGGGGGGCGGGGGATCCTGCTTCATCGACATCAGCTTCTAGGACCCGCAATCCTTGGAGATCCTGGGCTTGTAGGTGCACCTGCCTCTGCTGTCTGCAGATGGCATCTGTCCTCCCCGGGGTCTGCTTCTCTGTCTCGCTGTTTGTGCTGCTCTTTATGCGATTCAGAACGGATTAGGCTTAGGAAACAAGCCTGCGTGAAGATGGCTTCGTGAGCAAAACAAAGGCTCAACTCCCAAATGAGACTGCAACCACAGCGTAACTCACTGCCACCATGTCCACTCTGACTCAGAGCGCCCCTGCAGGACAAAGTGGAACTACCTTTGGCCCATACCATCACTTTCCTCTCTCTAAAATGAAGCTAATCACCCCAGTAAGCACTCACAAGGCAATTAGTAGTAGCAGAGGTAAAGCGAACCAACAAAATCTTTATTGATTCAGTCCTGCTGCCATCAATTCGGTTCTGACTCGTTGCAACCCTGCAGGACAGAGTTGAACTGCCGCTGTGGGTTTCTGAGGCTGTAAATATTTACAGGAGCAGAAAACCTCATCTCTCTCTCTCTCTCAGAGCAGCTATACTTTCAAACTGTTGAACTTGTGTTAGCAGCTCAACACATAATCCACTACGTTGCATAGGGCTAAAAAGATCCTCCGATTTTGCATCATGTTATAGGTGAAGATGCCAGGCCCAAAGAGATTCCTTTTGTCTGCAGTGGAACTCGGGTCACGTAAGACTTCCTCTAGCATCCTCGCCACTCTCCATTTCACCTAGCGTCTTCTCTATTGTAGGCTTCCTGAAGGGGGCATCTTTGTAGGAGCGGACTGCCACATCTTTCTCCCACGAAGCAGCTGATAGATTTGAACTATTGATCCTCCAGTTAGCAGTTGAGTGCTTAACTACTGTCATGACGCCTTATCTATAGGTATTGGTCTTATGTTAATTCATGACAACAGATCCTGTTGATAATGATATAAAAGGGATTAAGGGAACCAACCAGAGCAATGGAGGCATCTAAGAACTTCCCTCTCTAGGCCTCATGGGACAGTCAACTAATCATTTCCCCATGAGGGAAGTATTGGAGCTATGACTAGCTTCATTTTACGGAGAGGAAATTGGTATTATGGGCCTGAGGCAGCTGTGCTCTGTCCTCTAGGGTTAGGTGTTATTGAGCTCCGTGAGGCAGGCTGGACTCAACCACAGGGTTGGGTTTGGCTTATGTCCCAGGCACTCCTATTATCATTCGTGTATGTGACTAACAGTATTTGAAATCATCTTACAGTGTAGTGGAGGTGAGAGGAAAGATACCAGGAAACAAATAAGATCATTTTAGATTGTGATAAGTACTCCAAAGTAAAAAATAATCATAATAATAAGGTGTTGGGGTCAGGTGGGAGCAACATGAGATTTCATTCAAAGGAGGTCTTTTTGAATGGGTGGAAATAGAAGCAGCACCCAAATGAAACGGTGACAGTCACACCAGCAGACACCAAGCAAAGGGACCCAAAGGTACCAAGACCCTGAAATGTTCATGAAACAAAAAGAAGACCAGAAGTGCTAAAGCATAGGAATCCAGCCAAAGAGTATGTGCTAGTCCAGGTAGACTGGAGAAACAAATTCATAAACACGCATATGTGTGTAAGAGAGAGTTTTATATAAAGGGCAATTGTACATTAATAAAGCATCCCAACTGAGTCCTGTCCAAGCCCATAAGTCCAATATTAGCCCATATGTCTGATACCAATCTATAAAGCCCTCTCCAGACTCACGAAATAGATGCAATGATGCCAAATGCAGGGCAATCACAGGCCAGTGGGTAGAAGGTCTTTGGATCCAGTGGCATTGTAAGCATCTCAGAGCTGCCAGGGGTCTCCAAGTGATTCCTCCAGCTTCCAGGGCTGCATCAGGGTAGGTCCATGTGGCCTCTCCTCAGGGATGTCACGGAGGGAGTCAGCCTTGTCAGTAGAGAGTCTCCAAAGAAGTGAGCAGAGAAAGCAACTCCCACCTCCAAGGAGGAAATACTAGAGTTTTCCCAGAATCCTCAGGGAAAGGCCATGCCCACAGAAGTCTCATTGGCTGTGACCCAATTGACAGATTAGACTCCACCCCTTCATGCTTAATCCTCTCAAGTCCCAAATTGACACCAGATTATATAACTACCACAGAGTGGTATAGGACAAGATAGAAGGAGCCAACTTTTATGGGATTTTGTAGGCTCTACTGAGGAATTTGGTGGGAAGCTCATTTAAGTCTCACAATAGATCTTGAAGGGCAATGTCATCACCCTCATGCTCCAGATGAGAAAACTGAGTCCCACAAGAGTGAAAGTAAACTTGCTCAAGTTCAACATAAATAATTGATTCGTTGGTATTTAAGGCCAGTCCTGTCTTGTTCCAAGAACCACTTGACATGCTTTCCTTGACATCACAGACTCCCTCCTCTCAGAATTAGCAGTTAGATCTCATTAGCCTTTTCATTATCCAAGGTTGATATTTAGGCAAAAGTCATGCTCCAATTCCATTCATGAGAAGCCAGAAATCATGATGGCATAATAGAGTATCGATGGAATAATACAGACTCTGCTATCAGGAAGGCATACAAAATGGTATGTTTTTAAACTTTCTTGCACTGCTTCCAGTAATACATTCAACGCCATTGTCTTGTAAATGTTTTTATACACAGATTTATGAAACTCTTGATTCCCTTCTAGCTTAGGCTTTGGTCTTTTAAAACAATAGCTGTGCTTCTGTCCAAAGTGCTGAAAACATTTGACCCTGACTTTCATTTTGAACCAGTAGGGTAAGAGCTATTTTGTTCTTGTTGTTTTCAACAGTTTTATTGGCATATAATTCACATATCATACAAATCAACAGCTCAATCACATCAAGAAAAATTATACAACCGATCACCACAATGTGTTTTAGAACATTTTCTTCATTCTTGTACTCATTATTAGCTCCCCATTTCCCCCCAGTCTCCCCTGCCATAGCCCCTGAACTATTAATCCAGTTACTGTCTCTATAGATGGGTGAGAGTTGTTTTCAGAAAGTTTCCACATGAAGATACAGATTTATAACCCTTCAAGGGTAAAAAGAGGGGGAGGATGAGGAGGAGAAAGGGAAGAAAAATAGAATGGTAGCAGCATGATTTACTTTATAAAAATATTTACAATAGGATTTCTTACAGAGCAAGTCCAATAAAAGAAGAGCTCGGTTCCTCAGAGGATGGTCTAAATCATCTGGGTGCTTGAAATGAAGAATCTCAGCCCCCCTCACAGCTAACTGAATCAGAATCTACATTTAATAAGACCCCCCCAGTGATTCTCAGACACGTTAAAGCTTAAGGAGCAACACACTGGCGTTATTTAAAATCATGGGATTTTTTTTTCACCTTGGCGGGGCTTTGGAAAATCCCGGTGCCTAGTGAAATCCATCTATCAAAATGTGTGATGCTCCTCAGGTGGTCCCAAGGGGCACCCAAGGTAAAAAGCCACTGATTTTTTTTTAATTGGATGAGTCTCAGAAATGGAGAACCAGTATCATCTGCCATGAACAGATGAAAAACATAAAAATTAATAAACAAATATAAATGGGTTCTAGCCACTGGGGCAATTTTACTGATTCAAACAGACCTTCCCCACAACGACTTCGGTGTCACAATGTGCATTTCCTTTGATTGAGCCTTGAAGATGCTGGAAAAGGGTGACCACCTATCTCTTTATTCTGAATTTGGATTCAGTTGAAGAGTCAGTTCAATAAGGAGACTAGTGAGGCACGATGACCAGCCCTATAACTGAAGGACAGACTGGATCCTTTTGTTTGAACCCAGAGTCCATGGCGTTTCTTACCAACCAGTTTAGAACATAAACCAAACACTCACGAGAGGATGTGGGAATGCATGGAAGCTCGTTGAAGGCAGAACTGCTGCCTGCCAATCAAAGCCTTCTTAAGACAATAAGAGACTGGCCTCCGGGTCCTTCTCTGGAAGCAGACTTGGGGGGCAACTCACTTGGTATGTGGGAGCCTAGGAAGAATTCCTCCTTTCTAGTCTGCTTTAAGGCAGACTAGCCTGAGAAACAGAAGAAACGGATACTTGCTCATATATATGGTGTGCCTTCTGTCAAGCCTAAAAGCAATCAAGACCTTCTTCTCCACTGAGGGTAGAGAGAGAGAAGGGTTGAGAGGCCTTCCCTTCCAAATCCTTCCAAAAGTTAACTATTTCAGGAGTTACCAAGTTATGGGTTGAAGTAGAACAACTGGAAACAGGGAATAATTCCTACTACTCTTAACCTTCTTATGACCTAGTGACTTTTATGCATGTACTCAGAGAATTTCACAACCCACTAGGAGACAGACAGTCAAGTGTGCTGCACTGTTCAGACAGAATACTTAGAAAAGGGTAAGAAAAGATCCTCCTAAGCCTGCTTAACGCCTTCAAATTAGAGTGCTGGGTCCCCCACCCACACCCACACCCCAAATGTCTCCTTCTCCAGGAAGTGCTACTTGGTATCTTTGTTTTAAATCAACCCTCATCCACCCCTCTCTCTAGCTGTCAGACAATTCTCTAAAGGGTCTGAAACAAAAAAATAATTTTAGTTTACTTTGATTTAAAATAAAGATACCAAGTAGCAGTTTTGAGAGTGGGGGTGGGAAAGGGGTACCTTCAAAGTATCACAACTCTTGATGTGAAAAAGATGTGAGTCATGCAGATCTGTGTTCCAATCCTGCCATTGCCATTTACCACTGCGTAGACACGTTAGATCCAGGTTCTATTTCAACACCATTAAACAATAGTACTGGCTTCAAAAGGAATGGTAAGAACGATGTATACTATTGCTTATCATGATATTAAATATTGTATTGACAATATGTAAAGTATCTGAAAATTATTTATATTATTGACAAGTTACTACTTGTCACGGCACCATAGATTCTCACCTTGGCTTTGATTTACTATCCTTTGGGGCCCAGAATCTCCTCTGAGTTCTCACTTCTAAAGCTGTGATTGCCATGGTTGGGGTCCATTATTAGTTTGAGTTCCCTGTAATGAAGACATGGGGAGGATGTTAAGGAGGATTTCCATTGTCATATTGCTCTGGAAAATTGGGACCCAATGAAATGACCAAGATACTCCCAAGGGGAAATGCTGTAGATGTGGCCTGTGCCAGCACTCTCTCGTTCCCAAAGTAGAGAAAGTGTAGCATTCACTCAGCCATCCAATACCAGTCCTTGAAAAAGACAGAGCATGGAGGATTTAGGGAGAAAAGGGACCCTGCCATCAGCCACTCCCTATTCAGTTTCAATACCACGAAATGTGACTTCGGGTTTACCCTAGTTCTTTCTCTCAGACTGTGCTGCCCACTGTATTTTCAGGGATGCGATGGCAGGTACGGAAAGACTACTTGCCCATCTCACATTCAGTTTATTATCACTCTGCTCTGGGGAGGATAGAAACGGAATTAGTCTTTGTGGGTGAGGATTGATACAGTTGACCTTTCCTCACTATGTCAAGTATGTCTCCCGGGTTGTAGTAGAAGGAACAAATACTCCTAGGCGGGAAACAAGGGCTTCCTGTTATTATGAATCAATCTCGTAAATATCTGATCTCTAGGAGACTTTCAGGAAATGACTTCCTCTGTGTGTGTGTGTGTGTGTGTGTGTGTGTGTGTGTCTGTGCCTCTTGGTGTAATCGTCTGGGGCATGGTCATGTGCCTTGACATGGCTGCCCCAGTGAGGACAAGGCCATAGCCATGAGGGGACAGGACAAGACCCTTCACAAAGGGTGAGGTCATCGCAGCATCCAGAAGAGAGATGGATCCTCAGGCAGAGAAAGAGGAAATCGACCTAGAAATAGAAGAGAGGGCTCTCCTTCTTTTTGTGTCGCCTTGTGTGGTCTAGGGGTCTACGATAGTTTTCCTGTGGAAGAAATAGCCACTTGCCATTTCACTCATCCAAATTTACCCTCTCCACTATTGTGTAAGAAGAACTAGGTCAAAACGATTCTTCCTGAGGGGCCATTGATAGGACAAGTCTACTTAGATAAACTGAGACAATGCCAGCAATATCACTAAAGTGTACATGCAGAAACGTTAATCTGGGGGATGACTCTTGGGATAGGCAGGTAAGACAGTCGGCCCTGACTCCAGTATAAGGAACTGTGCCAATCCATCTCACTAAGGGTCTCCCTCCCCTTGGCTGGTCCTCTCTGTCACCAAACATGAGCTCTCTTCTAGCACTTGATCTCTGCTAATAGTGTCCAAAAGGAAGTTCTGTTGTCATTCTGATGCTTTTCATTGGCTAGTTTTCAGAAGCAGATTACCTAAGAGCTCTATCTTAGCCTAAAAGTTGTGCTGAAACCTGTCCACTATGAATGACTCTGCTGGAATTTGAAATATTGGTAGTGTCACTTCTTCCACTGTCACAGCAATAAAACACACTGACAAGACAGGTGGGAGATTTTTGTGATAGATCCTGTGTTATTTTATTCATGACTTAAGAGCTTTTCAAAAGTAACTTCTTTATACTCAATTTTCACCTTACTCACTAATTTTAGAACCAAATCTCCATCAAAGGAGAATTGCAGGGGCAGTGAATTATTTAATGCGGTTCTCTAGCCAAAGTCTCTAACTAACATCCAACAAGCTTTTCCTGCATGGGTCTGATAAGAAGGTAGGGGGAGAGACTCTGATAGGTTTCACCTGTGAGTAATTATGAACAAGATTCACTGGAATGCCATCTTGCCAGGGAGGGGATATTTCATTGCCAGCTAGAATGAGGAATGGAATGTGTCCCCTGGACCCCGAGATTTCTGTACAATACACCTCCTGCTTCAGAAGACAGTGGTGACATCGTAGGAGCAGCAGCAGACCCTGGAGTCAGAGCAGGAAATGGAGCAGTGGACTGCCCAGCCCACTGAGCAAGTACAACTGGTTGCTTTGGGAGCCGGAAGCTGGCTTGCTGAAGAGAGTGCCTTTGGGCATTTAATTGTGGGCGGGGAGCTGGGTTTGGAGTTTGAGCTGAATGCCTTCCACTTAAGGCTGACAGTGGAGGGGAACAATGCCCTTTGAACATTTATTAGCAGCCCTAAAAGAACTCTGTTCCATGTCCTGAAGAACAAATGTATCCTGAGCATTTTTCACCTGCATCACAACCTGCTAACTTCCTTAATGAGCCCTATAATCATTAATATTGTCTGTGAGTTCTGTGTAACCATTGCCACAAATATTAGGACCTAAATGAAAAAATACATAGTGATCTTTGAGATAACTCAAAGATCTTGAAAGTCCTTCTTCATCTATCAAGAATTCCGATTTAAAATATAAATGTCTTCTTTAAGAACAGTGAACAGTATCTCAATGTTTTTATGGCTCCAACGTCATGGCAAAATAGGCATTGTTGATTGAGCTATGAGCAATTTTCTTGATAAGAACATCTTCTGGAACTAATAGATTTAACATTTTACTTTTAGATTGTAGACATTAAACACCTTTTCTTTTCTTTTATCAAATCCTTTTGAAAGATTCTTCAGATAATTACTGAAGTCATAGAACAATAATTACTGTGGAAAATCAATGGTATTTTTAAGGTTGTATCAATTGAGGTGAATGGCTCAGCAGTCTGCTAAATTCTTCTTCAAGATGCATTGTTTTCAGAGCACAGAGAAGCTTCACTTATTTTGAGAGTTTCAATATGAACAACGCACTTGATCTTCCTATAGACTTTTACCAAAGTGACTCACGACAGCATAAGAGGTGACTCCATTGCAAACAGTCTTGTCTTTGACACCAGCATGACATTACCCTGTACTTCTCAGTTTTTCTTCCAGAATATTGTGCCCACTTGACATCACATCACATCCGATACATACAACTCATCTGGTAGACATTGGCTTATCAGAATGGATTTTTTAAAATTATCGACTACCCAACTCTCCACTTGTCATCCTGTGGAGGTAGACATGCTATTGTGTTGCATTTCAAATACCAGCAGGGTCAGTGATGGTGGATAGGCTTTCGCAGAACTTCCAGACTAAGGTTGACTAGGAAGAAAGACCTGATACTCTATTTCCAAAAATGAGCCAGCGATCACAGAGAAGGAACTGGTATACCACTAGTATAATGATAGTATAAACTAGTATAATGATCACAGAGAAGGAACTGGTATACCACTAGTATAATGATAGTATAAACGAGTATAATGATAGTATAAACTAGTATAATGATAGTATAAACGAGTATAATGATAGTATAAACTAGTATAATGATAGTATAAACTAGTATAATGGTCACAGAGAAGAGACGAGGTGACTACAATTAAGGGTCTGGAAGAAGTTTCAAATTATCATCGTGGACAACTGGGGAACCCCGACACTGCAGGACTCAGAAGTGGCCACATTGAGGCCTTAATTTCCTCCTTTTACAAATGAAACAAGGCCTCCTTCCTCACCAGTTGGGAGTAAATGTTAAAAACCTAACCTGTTTGTTTGACAAAATTCAACATTCATTCTAATAAAAAAAAACCTCTCAAAATAATAATAGAAGGGAAATTCCTCATATAATAAAAAATCATAAACTCAAAACCAACAGCCAAAAATCTCACTCAATGGGGAAAAACTGAAAGCATTCCCTTCGTCAACGAGAACCAGACAAGGATGACTTCTGTCACCAGTCTTATTCAATATTGTTCTGGAAGTCTTAGCCAGAGTTATTTTTTAAAAAAAGAAGAAGAAATAAATCAAAGGCATGCAAATGGGAAAAGAAGTCAAACTCTCTATTTGCAGATGATATGATTCTGTACGTAGAAAACCTCAAAGACTGAGGATGGGGGGAATATCAGAAATAATTGAAACTTTTGGAAATGTAAGAGGGTACAAGATCAACATACAAAAACCAATCAAACTGCTGTATACAAACCAAGAGAGCTCTTAAAATGATATCAAGAGAACAATGCCATTTATAGTAGTCACACAAAAGATTAAATACTTAGGAATGTAGAGAAATAAAAGACTTGTACAATGAAAACTACAAAATGTTACCGCAAGAAAAAAAGTAGACCTATATAAATGAAAAAATTCCCATGTTCATGGATAGGAAGATTTAACATTGTGAAAATGACAATATTACACAAAGCAATCTACAAATATAATTCCGATCCAGGTCCCAGCATCATTCTTTAAAGAAATGGGTAAATTAATCACTGTCTTTATATGGAGGGGAAAGAGATACAGGATAAGTTTTTTTAAAAACCAACCAATAAAGTAGGAGGCCTCACACTTTTGGACCCCCAAACCAACTACACAGTCAGGGTAGTCAAAAAAGGCTGGCATTGGTATAACAGTAGATGTGTAGATCAATGAAACAGAATAGAGAACCCAGAAGTAAACATGTCCACTTATGAACTACTGGCTTTTGACAAAAGGCCAAAAAACATCAAATGGGGAAGAGGTAGTCTCTTCAACAAATGATGCAGGAAAAATTGGATTTCCATTTGCAGAAGAATGAAATGAGACACATACCTCACTCTATCTGCAAAACAAACTCAAGACAGATTAAAGACCTAATGTAGTAAACTCTAGAACTATAAAGATCATCAATGAAAAATGACGGGACATTTGTTATTGTCAGGAGGAGTCAGGTCAGTTCAAACTCATAGTGACTGTGTGCACAACAGAACAAAACACTGCTGGGTCCTACCACCATCCTCACAAGTGTTATTATTCCTGCTTATTCCTGCAGCCACTGTGTCCATTTTGTCCTGATAGCATGTCCAAGTATGTGAGACGAAGTCTCACCATCCTTGCTTCTAAGGAAAATTCTGGCTGTATTTCATCCAAAACAGATCTATTTGTTCTCTTAGCAGTCCATCATACTTCAAATATTTTTGACAGCACCATGATTCGTATTTGTTGATTCTTCATCCATCTTCCCTACTCAGTGTCCAACTTCACATGCATATGAGGCGATGGAAAATACCATGGTTTGGGTCAGGTGCACCTTTTAGTTCTCAAAGTAACACCCTTGCTTTTCTGTACTCTAAAGAGGT